ATTAAAGTTTCTTAAGGGTCAAGATCAAGTTATCTGCATCTCCTGCGCTCCATCAAGCCACTCCCATAATAGCTGTCAGCACTCAAATTAATGCACGGCTCAGATTAACTGTAGGCTATAGCATGTGTGTAAGACTCTAATACAATTATAAGGTAATTATTTTATCACAAATAAATCTTTCAATGGGTAAAACTGGCTGTGTCTATAGTATTATAGATTACACATTATAATATTATTTTCAAATTATTATTATTTTAAAAATTATTGTCGCCGGATTAGTAGGGTACTCTTGTAGTAAATTAGCAGTGGCTGGGACCGATTTTAAATATCAATTCCCCTTAAAAAGATGCAATCTAATCCTGTTTACATGAAATAAGCTGCTCCCGAGCAGGTTTAAGTTTATGGACCTGTTGCTATGACAGCAAATCCAGGATGAGCTTTGAAGAACCAAATAATCCAAGATCATGCCAAATCGTCAACTATCAACTGAGTTAGCGACGAACGAAGAACGGGCCCCTGGTCAAAATATTACAGATGGCCAATCAACTCAAATAAGGCGGGGTTGATGTGTGACGCGTTTGAAGCAGGCAAAAGTGATGCACGCAACAGGGGCACTTTGAAGGGGCAGGGGCTCTCAGATAACAAGTAAATGTGTGCATATTTTGAGTATTAACTATCTTTCCTGGTGTAGGTTTTCAGTAAATTCACTTGTCTTAGAAACTGATTCATAATACTCATCGTGGGAGACTTGAAGCAGAATTTTGGATCTCTCTTTTGGACAAGTGTCTTCTTTCTGAAAAGAGCAGGGTTCATGAACTGCAAACAATCTTTATCGGGTCTGTACTTCAAAAGTATCCAGTTAAAGATGTAATTTGCCTAAAATTTGAAAACTTTTATTATCATTATCACATACTCACCCTTACATCATTATAAAGCCATGTGGCTCAATTTTATCATAAAACATAATAAAAGAATGTTCACACTCTGTTCAACAATTGAAGCTCTGTTTTATAAAATGTCAGAGGAGAGAACTCCAAAAACAGACAAATACTATAACCACTAGAAAGGCACTATAAAGATACATGGCGTCTGCACAAGATTCAAGGTCTTCTGAAGCCACATGAGAGAGTTGTCGTGGACTGATTTTATGGTGTAGTCCAACTTTAGTAATATTGAACTGATATTGAACTGTCATATTTTTAACAAAGGCCTAATTATGGCTTAATCTAAGCGTTGTCTGTAAAAAAAAAAAAAAAACATGCCTCAATGTTTCAGTATTGTGTTATTATGCTAGTAAGTGGTGTTAAAAAATTTCTCTGCGCATAAATGAACTGGTAAGTCAATTTTTAGTCACAGTCCACCACTAATTTATAAGTGAGCTCAGCAGTTATGTCCCCACACACTCGCTTTGAAAGTGATCACAATGATATCGTTATGGTTTTGGTGTGGATTCCGTTATTCTCTTAGAGTTAAAGCGAATTTAATGTTTATAATTAACCCCGTTTCTATATAATGTTTCAGTTGTTGTGCGTTTAGAAAATGGCATCACTTGAGCGTCGGACATTCCTAGTGGGAGAATTCGAATTTAAGTACAAAATATCCCACATCCGATTGGTTGATTTGAATGAACGCGGCAATCACGCGATCGTGAGAAATTCATGGCATTGTGAAAGGTATAGTTTTACTGCTTTCTGTGGTATGTCAACAAACTACAGGCTTCTTGTTAGGGCACTACAGACGAAAAAACTGCAGGTTGTCTGGTTTCGGTTCTAATTGTGTGTTTTTGAGGGCTCACAGGCGGAATAGGGCCTACTTGCGCACAAAATCCCAAAAGCAGTGGTTAGCAGGTAAATCATAAAAGCGATTTGTAGATCTCTAAGTTTTCAGGAGTATTCGAATGCTAAAGTGCATCATAAGCAGACAGACTCCTAACCACACAATTACATTAATATTATTTTAATACATTCTTTATACAGACTTGTGACTTCAACAGATTGACAGTTGTGTGAATTAAATTCAGCACGTCATATGAAAAATGGGCTTTGATTTACAGGTAGTTGGAGGAGGCAAATAAATTTGCTGTCGTGCATGAATCAGTTATGTGTTGCGCAACACACTTGTCTTTCCATGCATTTTCCTCCTTTCACAACATCGTCTTCCTCTATGACGCTCCAGAGCTCGCCACAATGTAATGTTATGACCGCCTTTAACAATGAGCAAAGAGTAGGCTGCTGAATCTCTTTTAAAAGGCAAAGGCAACTTTAGAACCCTGTCTGTGTATATCTGGATCTTGGAGCCCTGGTTAATGTATATAAAAAATTACATTTCAGAGTCACATAGTGATTTAAAAATATTATAGCAGTCGGTCCTGACATTCAAATTAAATTCAAAGTATTGCCCATAACTACTACCAACCAGTGTTTAGACACGTTAGACACCTGACAGAGTTTGCGTGTGTGTCACTACCGTTCAAAAGTGCGGGGTCAGTATAAGATAGATAAGACGTATTGGAATGATTTCTGAAGGATTGTCAGTTTTAGCCAGTGACAGAGCATCAAGCACGTGTTTAATTTAGACATACAGTAATAAAGATATAGTTCTACTGTAATTCTTATGCAGGTCTAATATGAGACATTTCCACTGCTGTGCTGCCTAAGCTACAATCCTTGTTTGTGATTTAATAGTTTTAAAATATATCAAATAAATACAAAACCCAATTAAAAAGTTGTTTAACCATGTTTATTTCCTGGATTAAACTGCCTACTTAAACTAGGTTCACGCATAGACAAGTGAAAACTACACCGTGGTGTTGTCCAAATTCAGCTTAACTATTTGCATGTCACATGGTGACAACTATCCAATCAGGTACCAGGTTATCTGACCCATGTAATTAGTCCGGAAAATAAACATAAAAGCTAAATATAAACGGAGATTGTTCTCTGTGTACAGTTTTCTTGGTTTTGAGCTCATAAAATACGATGAGTTAAATTGCAAAGCATATTGTGCAAGTAAATATGGAAGCAAGGGGTTTAAATGAGGAGTTCAGAAATGTTTACCCATCTGCCTTCGGGGCGCACTCAAGCAGGTCTGCGTCAGAAACTCCGATGTTCTCCGCGGCGGAACGACCGACTTCGACAAGCGCTGAGTCTCTCACTCCTTACATTTCTTTTCCAGCCAACATTGGCACTAGCTCCTCAGTCACTTTTGGATGTCGTTTCGGAAATAGTTGTTATCGTTGCAAATTTCCACAGAACGCCATGTTTCTGTCTAGTGTTGTAAAACAAAATGCGAATGGACAGTCTGCCAGTAAACCCGTGGACTATAGTGACGGCTGGCTTAAGGAGTTCGCTTTTTACCAAAGTTACACAGGTTCCTACCCAAGAATCCACCCTGCCTATATTGATTTACCTGTAGTTCATAGAACAATGACCGGAGATTCCAGACATGATACTTGCTTGACAACGGAAGGCCACCAGCCATGGAACTGGTCAAACAATTGCAGCGGTCAACTTTATTGCTCCAAAGACCAGACGCAGAGCCCGCATATCTGGAAGCCATCATTAACAGGTAAGACTTGTGAGATCTGCTCTGTGAATCACTCCTCGCCTCTCTTCATTAGTTTTTGACACCGCCTTATTAAATGTCATGATCATGTCCGTATTAAAGTAGGCTAATTAAATGAATTCTTAAAATAAATGAGAACCACAGGCTAAGTACGCCGAAATTAATCAGGACAAAAATTAAAAACGTTCCCTGTTCTTTTGAACCTGGCTTTCTTTGGATGGAAATTTACAAGACGCCATTCTTTTGGTTTTAAATTAATGATTGTCTTACGAATTTAGATTATTGGAAGGTGTTTCTTTAAAAGGCTGCGTTAAGGTAAAGTGCAATAAATGTTACATCATTGTTAATCTTGGAATAATTAAAAGATCTTGTAACAAAAGACAACCTATTACAATGATTTGTATTTCCTCAGAGGGAGCCGCGGTTTCGTTCTGTCAGCGCGGGAGAAAGAAGCGGGTTCCTTACACAAAATTGCAACTGAAAGAGCTCGAGCGGGAATACACCAACACTAAGTTCATTACAAAGGAAAAGAGACGACGGATCGCTTTTTCTACAAACCTGTCTGAGAGACAAGTAACTATATGGTTTCAAAATCGTCGAGTCAAGGATAAGAAGAGACCTGAAGTCTGCAAATAATTTTAATCCTATTAAAGGTTCATTCGTGCATATGCTGATTTATATAGTGAAGAGTTTAGCTCTTTGTTCTTTTTTTATTAACAAGGGCGATATAGCCTTTTATTTTATTATTTATATCTTGTTCAAATATTTGGATGTACTCACATTCATACTCAGTCATAGTTTATTCAGATAATTTTATATTGGCTTCCAGGTTTGCTGAAAGAATGGTCAGATGTTCAAACTGTTTCAGTAGCTTGAGGTTTTTTTTTCGCCAGTTGTTTTTTATAATTTAAGTATTGTTAAACAATTGTCATTCGTTATTTCTACGCCATAAGCCAGGCCACTGATTTTTCCTTTCAGTCAAAATGTTATGTTTTACTTTTCGTTTCATGTGAGTGCAGTATATTTGTTACCTAGTTGTTTATAGTAGTTTTATGGAAGGATCTGTAACATTAACGCTAATGATAATAAATAAATAAATAAATAAATAAATTCAAGCGTAATGTTGATTTAAGAGATCCGAGCGACTAAAAATAATTTGTTTTAAACCTTAAGACTGTGGCTGGTTTCCCCGAAGCACCAAGTAAAACGTTAATAGCGTGAAAATTGCAGTCTTTAAATAATTCTGTATTTCCGATTACTTTTGCATTTATCATAGTTATTAAAGTGTTTTATTTTATTTATTGCCGTTGCAAAGCTACTGTACACTATTCAACTGGCTTGAATTGAATGTTTAACAGTGATAGACCCACAATTTTATGTAGCCCTACTTTGGGAAACATAAATGAATTTCAGTAGAGGATTGATATTCATAATAGTATGGATTCCACAACTGTTTAGGCCTGCAACGGTCTGTAAATGTATTTTATAGATGAATAAATGGGAACACATAAGCTACTGGTAAAATGTAAGCTATGCCTCAAATGTCCGCGAAGTCGCTTTGGATAAAAGCGACAGCTTTTTTCCAAATGTGAATGAATTAGTAAGCCTAAATGTAAACACACTATCATTGCGTAAAGGTGATTTATGTGAAGAGTAAAGTATTAGTTACAATATTTAAGTGCGATATACACACAGTTATTATTTAGCTAAATCAGCCCACAAATTGTTTTATTGTTGATTTGTTTGACTTTAAAGGTTCATTGAACATCTTTGAAAAGCAAAAAAGTCTACACAACACAAGCCTTTTTGTTTCCTTTCAAATAGGATTTCATTATATAAAACATTAACATCTTTTGAAACTGGGTCTTCTCACTGACCTTGAGACGTATTGTCAGACTAGACCTTGACTTCAAGAGGTCTCATGAATAAAACTTGCCACCAATTCATGAAGCTGCATCGCCACCTACCGGTTAGCATGTGCCTTGCATTAAGATCAAATTCATTTTTGCATAAAAAGCAACCCATTTTGAGAATGAATTCAGAAGCTATGATCATTTAATAGGGAAGATGGCGCTTTTTAGTTATGAATAAATATGTAATATGCAGTGGCAAATGAAAAAAAAAAACGTGTAATGTAGAGTTAAAAAGTTATATTAAGTTATATTTGTTGGTCAGAAAATACTTCCCCCAAGGGTGGGGACTCTCATGGCAACTCGTAGCTGTTTTACGTTTTGCCGAATTGCTGGCAAATTCATGCGAGGCTTTAACAACGGCAGTACTTAAACGGCAATATTTTAAATGAAATGTTTATAGTTCCCTGTCACGCTGTTTTCCGCTTTTAAAAGCGACGCTTTTCATTAAATTATCTGGTTGTTTGGGACTAATTGTAAATGAAATTTAGACTATGACAAACGGTTTTACTCTGGCTTTTAAATGCACTTGGACTTGTTTTTGGTCATCCGCGTCTGGACTTTGACCTTGAACTATACTGATGTACCATATCATTTTCATGTACACATTTTTGTTTTTTAAGGTTGAACAAGTGATTCTGGGCTTCTGTGTTGTCAGTACGCAACAGAATGTGAATTTCTAAAGCAATCCGATTTTAACGGTTTTCATGAATTTACTGGACCCGTAAAATGTGGGAGGTTAGCTGTCTCCACTCTTTCCGGAAATTGCCTGTTTACAATAGTCATTTTGCCTGCACGTGCGTGTATGTGCACATTCTTTAAAATCGTGTTTTGGATCATCTGGACAAATCTTTGAAGGTAAGATAAAATATAACTTGCATATCCTACAGTGTCAAATTTGAGAGACAGATTACAAAGAGATCCGATATCTAAAGTAATGTTTAATTTCTTGCACCGACAAATCTTTGAAGGTAAGATAAAATATAACTTGCATATCCTACAGTGTCAAATTTGAGAGACAGATTACAAAGAGATCCGATATCTAAAGTAATGTTTAATTTCTTGCACCGATAGCTCGGCATCTCAAGACAACCGACTTAAATGTTTATGTAAGATAGCCTATTATAAAGAATTTACAGTGTTAGGCTTTTCTTTCTTTTCTATTTTTTTTTTTTACTTTATATATTTACTTTTACAATACATATTTCAAAATATAGTGAATATAGTGAATTCAAAATATAGTAGAAAAATAGTGAATCGTGCGTTACCAAAACCTTATACAGTATATAGAAAAATTCATAGATTGAAATGAATGAATCGAATTAAAGATATCCGCCACTCTGTAACGAAATGTTTAAAAAGATGGATTTTTTTTTCAGGCATTGGAAAATTTTCACATTTGGGATTTTTAAATGCACCGACAAATCTTTGAAGGTAAGATAAAATATAACTTGCATATCCTACAGTGTCAAATTTGAGAGACAGATTACAAAGAGATCCGATATCTAAAGTAATGTTTAATTTCTTGCACCGATAGCTCGGCATCTCAAGACAACCGACTTAAATGTTTATGTAAGATAGCCTATTATAAAGAATTGACAGTGTTAGGCTTTTCTTTCTTTTCTATTTTTTATTTTTTTACTTTATATATTTACCTTTACAATACATATTTCAAAATATAGTGAATATAGTGAATTCAAAATATAGTAGAAAAATAGTGAATCGTGCGTTACCAAAACCTTATACAGTATATAGAAAAATTCATAGATTGAAATGAATGAATCGAATTAAAGATATCCGCCACTCTGTAACGAAATGTTTAAAAAGATGGATTTTTTTTCAGGCATTGGAAAATTTTCACATTTGGGATTTTTTTTAAATTGTATAATACTCTATCAAAAGTGTAAATTGCACAGGAAGGATTTAATTAAACCTTTTTTTAAACGTGTTTGTGAACTTAACGTTTTTAAACCCCTATTTATACTTAATAAAACACGAACGCAGCTCTTTTGACTATGTAGCCAAACCAGCTGTAATGCATTACTAATATATATATATTAAATAAATAGACAAGAAATTGAACTGGGATGTCTGGAAATGTTGTTTGTTATTTTATATGCTTTTTATGCAATGCCTATTTCTGACTTTGCATCGCGACTGTCACATGGGCGTGGCTAAACATTTTACTTTGCATAACACGTGATGGTGCATTAACAAATCAACAATTACCTTGCTAGTATTCTTTGGGGGTAACTAAAAACGGTGTTAAGAAGCGTTCGGGCAAGCTCGTCGGAAATGTGCGAGCACAATCTTCTTAGCTCTGGGTATGTTGCTCCCCTTTTGAATTTTCACTCTCCCGACTCCCTGTACCTCCAAAACTTGCGAGGCAATGGAGTCCATCTATCTGGGCTTCCGCAGATGTCCTACAGTAGAAGAGAGGTGTGCTCGCTCCCGTGGACTTCTCCAAATCCGTGCACTACTCCGGCCCAGAGCCGCGCCTACAGTGGCTACTCTCAGCCGTTTTTTAGCAATTCAGCCGCTGTGAGCGCTAGCCTCAACACTCACAAAAAGGGCTCACTGGAGGAATCCGGGAGGTACTACTTCCAAGATGTCAGCCACAAATCAGAGGAGCCTGCACGACCTAATGCAGCTTACGCAAGTGAACAGAGACTCACTACTGACTCCGCCAGCAATGCAGTTTTAAACTTGGAAAGGCGACAGCAGAACAGGGTTGCACAGAATCAACTTAACTTCATTGACCAGCCAGTGACTGATGCTTCAAAGCAGTCTGTCAGCTCCATCGCTCAATTTCAACCATCACTGAACACCCCGACTATTAGATCATCCTTCTCCGATGGTACGCAACTTCTTCCTTGACCCTTCCGTCATAGATACCAACGCTGTGCCTAAATGTCACTCTTGATTTCAGTGGATTTTACTCTGTAGTCTTTGTATGTGTGATGTGCTTTGTTCAGTTATAGGCAAGCTATTTCAGCCATTGAGTTTGCCACGCTTAACTTTTCAACTAGTTTGTTTTCAGACAGAAAAAATAATAATTACGCATGCTCCACGATATAGTAAAAATGACAGATGAATCAGAGTTGTCGTTGTGTTTTTAAGAGTTAACATCTTTAGATGAAGATACTAATTCAGTGGTTTGCAAGAATGATGACAAGTACGAATGGTGAATTCATTATTTTTCTCTCTCTTTCCCAGGACTGCCATGGTGTCCCTCACAGGTGAGATCAAGAAAAAAGAGGAAACCTTACACGAAGCCACAGTTAGCCGAACTGGAGAACGAATTTATGATGAATGCATTTATAAACCGACAGAAACGAAAGGAGCTTTCGGACAGATTGGAACTGAGTGATCAGCAAGTGAAAATCTGGTTTCAGAACCGCAGGATGAAGAAAAAAAGATTTATGATGCGCGAGCATACCTTCACTGTTTACTAATTTTATTTTTATTTTTTTAATATATAATAACAGTCAAGGATTTATTTTTTAGGTGGTGACATCATTCATACTGATCATTCACAAGTTACTTTTATGACGGAGATGAAAGTCCACCAAACCCCTCTGGAAAGGATTATCTCCCGAACACCTATTAAATGTAATTTAATATTAAAGCTGAATAGGCTATTGAATAATTAAAGCTGAACAATTTTAAATGTATATTTATTAGCCATGAAGTCGCTGCATTTGTATGTGTCTGGTGTATGTTTTTGGTGGAAAAAGGGTAATTCCAAAGTTGTAATGTTAGCTTGCTATAAATAGTCTAAAAAGAATGCTTTGTAGTTTAAAACCTCAGCAAAATTTAGAGTAGGAACGTCATGTGTATATTGGGTTCATAACATACATTCTGGCGTCATTTAAAAGTACACTGGGCAGCTAACATAGCTAACTGAATGGAGTCAATAAATTGTCAGACATTCCAACCTTTAGTAACTTTGATAAAACCTCATTTGTATCTTCCGATCTAAAAATGTAAATTTTGTTGTATTTTAACCAAAAGTGTTATGTGTAATATTTATTAAGTGTTCTGTAAATTCTGCATTACATTAAACTTCTGCGTTCTTGTGCGATTGCTTGTCTGGTTTAATTCGATTGGTGATTCTAAAATGCTCTACTAAAAAGCAGTGGTGCCTCTAGTCCAAGCTC